GTCGCACACAGTGTCGACCCGCCACGGTGCCCAGCAGTGCCCGTGCGGCTTTCACAGCATGGGCAGCCTTGCGGAGGCAGCTCCAGGATAACCCAGGACTGACGACGACACCGATGCTTTCAGGTGCAGCAGCTTTCGGGTCAGATCTCGCTTCTGCCCTCGCTGCATCCACAGGTTAGAATCACACATCCAAAACCCCTCCAACGGCTGGTAACTCCCGGGAGGTGTAACACAGCCAGGGAGGTGGGGACCTCGCTGCTTTCAGCACTTATGCCAACCACGACCTGGGGCCACGGCTGCAGGGAGGGCTCTGGGGTCCCTCTCCCCTCCTCAGCGCTCTGCCCCCTTTCCAGCATGTCACAAGCACGCTACTGTTGGATGCAGTCCTGCTGGGAGCGTCTGTGTCCATGCCAGCGGTAAGCGTGAGGAGGAGAGGGGTGCCCTGCGGCCGTACGGCTGCCTGGGAGCTAGCTGGGAGGAGGGGAAGGTTTCCAGCTTGGATGTGGCTTTGTTCCCTATTTGATGTTTTTGAGAAGCGCAGTCCGGGCGTTCACCACGGCTTTGAAGGCGTCCTCGCTGCCGGGAGCCACACACTTATCGGGGTGGAGCAGCACGGCCAGCTTCCGATAGGCTTTGTTCACTTCGTCCCTAGGAGACACGACAAGAGTGAGGGGACCCACACGACACGCAGCCCGGCTCAGCCTTGCCCCTGTGCAGACACTTCTGAACCCTTCCCTCTCCGGCACTAAGGACCTCCAGGCTTTGGAGGTGATGCTACAGAGAAAGAGCTGAAGAAAAGCACACAGAGCACTTCTCGGCGCAACACGAGCAGAGAAGGGGGAGAACCCACCCTCTCCACCATGGGACCGTGCTGGCACAAACGCTCCCATCACACCAGACACGTGCCTGCGACACGTGCCGCGGTGTGCCGAGCCTCTGGCACCACCAGCAGAAAGCTGGGAGACAGCGTGGGGGTAACACGCACCCTGACTCAGCTTCGCATCAAACCGCCTACGCGCTCCGGGCGAAGGCATTGCACATCACTTCAGCCCTTTAAGCCTTGGGTGTCTGGTCCAAGGCAGACGTCTCAGCTCCAGCTGCAGGCCGTGGAGAGTCCGTGTCCGTGCTGGAAATCACAGCGCAAACAGCCACGCAGAGCTGCTGATCTCTCCCCATGGATGAGAGGGGGCTGGAGGAGGGGTTAGGCTCAACATCTACATTTCAGAGAGCCAACAGGAGGATCTATGAGCCCTGGATAATATATGTTATCCAAAAATCTACTCTCCAGCACCTTTGCAAGGAGTACACAAGGGCAGTCCTTGTGTTTCAGAAAGAAGAAAGCAAGGGATAGCTCTGGGAGCTCGTTTTAGCTGCCCAAGTCATACAGCAGAACTGGGAGATTCAATATCCAACGTCTTGCACAGGCAATGACCAATTCCACCTGGCTAGAGGTCCTCTGAGAACGACAAGAGAAAGCTTGTCTTGTGGGAGTACCGTTTCCAGGTGGAAGAGCTGTAATGTCAATCCCTTTTTGATAATGTGGGCAGCAGCCTTACGGCACCTTAAAAACTTCTCCAGACCCGGAGAGCAAGGAAAGTAAAGCTGGAGCTGCTCCAAACACGTCCGGCAAGTGAGTGACCAGAGACGGCTCAGCCTGGAGGCAGGATGCAGAGCCAGGCAGCTGACAGGGCTGAAGTTTTCACGTTCATCATTCCCCCCTTGCCTCCAGCCTGGCTTGTCTACTAAAAGGGGAAATTTGGTGCTCAGGACCGAGGGTTTCTTTTGCATTGCCTCAATTTTGTGGCTAGATACAAACTGCTTGTGCCTGGCTGCTATATAAACCAAGGTGAGCTTATCAGCAGGCAGGTCACTAAGAGATCACAGAGACAACCAGCATGCCGGGTCAGAAACATCAGGGATAGTCAGGCAAATGCCAAAGTCTCCCTCACCTTGTGGCTCCGGGTTTGACCCCCAGCATGTCCCAGCTGTCCTTGCTGTTGCGGATCCTGCGAATGGCATCTGCCTGCTCTTTGGTGAAGCCGACCCCCACGCTGGAGGGGGGACGCTTCCCGCCATTGTCACACAAGTCGATGATGGCAGAGTAAAAAGTCTGCGGACACAGGGAGGAATTAGCGGGAAGGAACAGTCCCCAAAGGAGGTAGCAGGAGGTGCGCAGGACACCCCACGGCCCTTGCTGTCTGCGGGCTCGTCCTCTGAAGTGTGGGGGAGCATTTGGACAATGGCTGAACATTCATTCCCCGCTGCCCGGGCTGGGATACCCCAGGCTGGGGGGATCCAGTCCCTCCAAAGACCATGGGACAGACCGAGGAGGCAGCCAGGCCCCACATTTATTTCACACCCACTTCAGCGCAGCGCTAGACCTGAAGAGGTGATACGGGCATCTCTGCATCGTGTTCCCCAAGAGGGATCATCAGCTCTGAGCAATGCAATGCTGGGGCCAACTTTGGACTGGGAGGACCAATACAGACCCTGAACTAAAGAGCTACAGCTTTCTCAGGGCAGCATTTCACCGGGAAAACACCTCTGGGGCCGAGGGCCAACAGGTTTTGTGGGATCCAGGCAGTTCAGGAGACATTCTGCCATCAAATCCTGGCTGAGTGTGGTGTCTGTGCCTTCCCCACCTTCATCACACCTCACCTGAAACATCTCGTTGATTCCCTCTCCTGTCTGTGCCGATGTCTCAAAGTAAAGAAAGCCGCGGCTCTCTGCCCAGAGCCGCCCCTCGCTTTCGTCCACGCTGCGGTGCTTGGTGCAGTCGATCTGGACCGGGAGAAAAGGCAGAGGTCAGAGCCCAGCCAGGATCATCTAACAGTGGGTAAGGAGCCTGTCTGGTTGGAAAGGCTGTTTGCTTATCCTGAAGGGATGGAGGCAGCGTGGAAAGAAAGCACAGAAAATCCAAGTGAAAAGGCCTTTGAGAGTTTATCTAGTCCAGACACGACGTCACCTCTACTTGATCCCTTCCTGACTGATGTGTGGCCACCACATTCTCAAAACCCTGTTGAAACGTGGTCTCCAGTGCTCCTCATGCACGAATCTGGCTCTTAGAAAGTCTTCCTTACGACCTAACAATATTTCCCTTGCTGCAGCTGGAGCTCCACAGCTTGGGCTCAAGCTGGGAACAGAACGAGCCCTGAGGGCTGGAGATCGGGACCGCAGCGCAGCCTGGCTCCCCACCACAGCCCACCTTGTTCGCACAGACAACGAAGACGATGTTCTCCATGTTCCCGTGGGGGCCCAGCTCCTGCTTCATCTCAGCCAGCCACGCGTCCAGCGCGTCAAAAGACTCCTTTTGTCCCACATCGTAGACCAGGATGACGCCCTGCGTGTCCTTGTAAAACTCGTTCCTCACCTGTGGGGACAAAGGCAGAGCGCTGGCACCAGTGACAGCCAGGCTGAGAGCACGTGGCCTGGCGGATTCGAGGGATCGCCGTTTACCTGGCACCTATTTGGTTCTGTGATAAAAATCTCATCTTCACACAAGCAGAAGATCACAGAAAAAAGGACAGATGGGGGAACCCAAATAATACCCTGACCACACTGCCCCGGAGTCCCTCACAGTAACGATCACCCCATAAAATACTCACCTCCACACAAAAGAGCACAGATGCACAACGGCAGACAAGGTGTCAGACCAACTCCTGGGGAGACTGGAAGGTCTGGGAGTCGACCGAGACACCCGCGTGTGTCCCTGTGTGTGAGGCAGCAGAAGAGAGTGAGGATCCAGGGCCAGCCCCCTGCACAGACTGCAGGTCTAAGCCCAGCTACTGGAGGGATCCGCAGGATGTCTGTGCGTAAGGGGGGGCTGTACCGGCAGCTGGAGCAAGGCCGCAGCCTCTGGGGCTTGTATGCCCAGTGCCAGCAAGCAGGGAGACTGTGGATCCCCAGGACAGCTGCTGGGTGAGGGTCTAAGGTCAGCTGCAGGACAGATATTGGACTAGAACAGACTATTTCAGTTGGAAGGGACCTACAAGGATCATCCAGTCCAACTGCCTGACCACTGCAGGGCTGCCCAAAAGTTAAAGCCTGTTGTTAAGGGCATTGCCCAAACACCTCTTAAACCCTGACAGGCTTGGGGCATCGACCAGCTCTCCAGGAAGCCTGTTCCAGGGTTTGACCACCCTCTCGGTAAAGAAATGCTTCCTCATGTCCCATCTAAACCTCCCCAGGTGCAGCTTCGAACCATCCCCACGTGTCCTGTCCCTAGATCCCGGGGAGAAGAGCTCAGCACCCCCTTCTCCACCTCCCCTCCTCAGGAAGCTGCAGAGAGCGATGAGGTGGCCCCTCAGCCTCCTTTGCTCCAAACCAGACAAACCCCAAGTGCTCAGCCACTCCTCACAGGACGTTCCTTCCAGCCCTTCACCAGCTTGGTTGCCCTCCTCTGGACACATTCGAGGACCTTCGCATCCTTCTCAAATGGTGGGGCCCAGAACTGCACACAGCACTCAAGGTGAGACCTCTCCCAATTTAGACTTCTTTTTTTGGTTTCATTTTTCCCTGTTTACTTATATTTTAGTATAAAACCAATTATACATCAGAGACATGCTAGACATATACAAGTATTAAATGTTGAAAATACAAAACCAACCAAAGCAGCAGCAGTTTTCTGTCTCGTCGCTCTTCAATAAATATTTCCCACATATTTATTCACCAAAGTGGAAGTTTAAGCCCACCACGCTTTCCAAGGACTGGGAGTCTTTTCCCTTCTCCATTGTCTCACATGGATTAGCTGTGGCATAGCCAGAAAGTCAATACACACAAGCAGTTCATACATCTGCAAGCGATAACCATGCTACAAAGACCTCTACTGACCACATCCGCATCGGGTCAGAGTCTTTACAGTCTTCTGTCCCTCAATTTCTTTATGCTGTCAGCTCTGTCCCCCAACATCCCTGCTTCCTGCTGTATTCCAGGCTATTAATTAATTACATTTCACTGGTGACTTGCACTATATCAGGACTTACAAACCCAAGTCAAGACTTGTAGTTCTACACACAAATAACGTAGAAATCCTTGTTGTGCCCCAGACTTTGGAGCATGCGACAAGCAAATGCTGAGTACGCAAGGGAGGAATGGGAGGTTCATGAGCAACCAGATAAATAAAAGTCAATAGCCAGGCAGTCACCTGGCCAGCAGAAACCATTACATTCTTCATTCTGCCCTCCCTCATTTTTACTTTCTGATGCCACGTTAGTATTTATCATGTTATAAACCGCTCCTTCCTAATATTCTATATGTTTTTATTAGTCACAGAGTGATGCTTTGCCAAGCATCAACAGTACATTTATAATTAAGAATTAGTATGCATTACACTGTTAAAACAATAGGATTATACTGGATAAACATTTAATGTTCCTTTCTTCCACTCTTGGGCCCACTTTATTACTTTCTTTATAATTTAAAATAAATGTGATTAGCAGTGAGCACAATCACTCCTTTGTGCCAGCTCTCCAAAGTGGATATTGTAGTCTACGTGTTCAAATCCTAAAGTTTTATCCCGCAAGCTCCTTTTCGTAACTAGTACTGTTTATTATTTGTACTGCAAAGAATTCTAGAATGGAATGGAGGATTTCAGTTGGAAGGGGCCTACAATGATCATCTATCCAACTGCAAATGTTTTACAGTGCTTTGGTCATGGATTAGAATGCCAGTATGCTACAAATGCCCAAGGTAAGCTCCAGAGATTTCCCAATCTGAGTAAATTTAACCTCAAGATGGGCAGATTCATAAGCACAAGGAGCCACTTTGAAACAGGGCCAGCAACGTGAGCGGTAGCACAGGCAAACCTTACACTCATGGTTTAGGAGCAAGTTGGTAGGTTATTGCTGGCCCATGTTAGGTGTCTGTGGCAGGAAAGAAGGGGGTGTATCGTAGCAGAAAAAGGTCATTATGTATTTTCAAGTTTCCCATCCCCAAACCCAATTTCAGGCAGAGCTGAGGAAAGCTGACGGGCGCCGAACGCTTCCGAGGGCGACCCTGCGGTGTGCTGCCCGGAGTCGGGTCTGCCTTAGTGGGTCCCCCGCCATATCGAAGATGTTCACCTTGATCTCTCGGTCTCTAACCTGCACTCTGAAAGGAGAGGTGGGAAGTATCTGAGGAGGCTCTATTTCAGCCCTTGCACAGGCTGTGCCCCCGCAGGAACACCCCTTATCTCTGCCAGCCCTCCGCAGAGAAAGAGCTGGGTAAAAATCAGCACGAGGTTCCGAGCGCCGGGGTTTAATGGCCAGAAAACTGCCCCACAGCTGGTCAGACGAGGAGGACAGCACCAGCTGTGGGTATAACATGATAACAGGGAGCTACACTACCAGAGCAAGGCTGATGATGCAGATTATCTTATTATTAAAGCAGAAACACAGATTATGCCGTGGAAACGAAGCAGCCTTGGCAGAGCCAAGCACGCCTGGCTCGGTCAGGAGCGGCGGGAGGTGGGACAGCCCCACTGCACATCTTCCCTCTGCCCCTCTGGAGAGCAGCGTCCCCCGCAGCAGACGCCTCACCGAGGCCCTGGCAGACCCACGGCTGCCGTTTGCGACCCCGCAGCTCATCCCACCCTCCTGGCGCCTGCGGCTCCTCACCGCAAAGGTACTTACTTTGTGACGCCGTAGTCGATCCCAATAGTCGCCAGGTATTTGGGAACGAACCTCTTCTCACAGTAACGCTTTATAATGCAGCTCTGGGAGAAAGGAAAACAGAGCCTCAGCAGGAGGGCGCTGTACACCGTGATATTCACGTTAATATGGAATTTGCCAACAGGTCCCAGTGAGACAGACAGCTGTAAAGACATCAACTCTGCCCTAAGTCCCTAAACTGACTAATTAACCCACAACCAAAGCACCAATCCCTACCAGGAAAGGATTGCTTTCTGCAAAAGAAAGGATAAGCCAATATCCTAGCTCCTGGGTGTCAGTTATTCCTTACCTCTTTGGAGACTGGAGTGCCGAGAAACTCTGATTTATTCCCCTACAGAAAACATCCAGCCTGGAGGAGCTGTGTGTTCAGGGGCCTGGGGACAGTCAGCTCCCCAAAAGCCAAGAAGAACGTTTCAGCACCCCGAGAAGCGCGTACAGGGTCACACCAGGTCTCTCCAGCCCCGGTGCTGCCCCTGACCGGCAGAGATACTGTTAAGGGAGAGCAGAGGAGTCGGCTGCTATCAGCCATCGAGAGAGAAATGCTGTAAGGAGAAATGTCACCTGCCACCTCTTTGCTCATTCACTCCGTTCTGCAAAATCCTTCTGGATTTTCTTACTACCAAGCGAGGCCATTGTCTGCCCCAAGGGAGTCCTCGTGCTGTCAGCAGTTTAACAGGACTATGTTTATTTAGCAAATTAAAAAGGGCAGCACTTCAGAACAGAACCTGGCTGGGAAAAGAAATGAGCTCCCGGAGAAGACCCGGGACGTTCACCGCGGGAGGAGCAAGGGGGGGCTCCTGGTGAACCCCTGCCCAAACCCAAACTCAGGAGGGGGGAGAGGATTTAGATCAGATGTTAGAAAGAAATTCT